CGTCGGAAAAAATTCGATGATGAGAAGAAATATTCACCATGTATAATATTTTAATTCTCAAAGGAGTGAAAATTCGAGAAGGTCAAGGTGTGCGTTTCCGGTTGGACTCGTCGACAGGCCTTGCGTATCATTTTGTAGTCCTCTGGGTGTAGATATTTGTAATTTAAATGCGAACAAAACATTAAGATATCATTTCTTAAGATGCTTCTACCTTGAAAATTTAACAATATTCAATATTTTCATATATATATGACCGAATATACAGGGTGCGGCGCGGGAACTTACTTATTTGAATTGCGCGCCACGTGGCGGCCATTAGTCCTAGGAAGGTGGCGCCATGCGCAATATGGTGCGCGGGCTATGAAGTTTTTCGTCCACTCAGTTCAGTTGCGACCATGCAGTGGTCGAGAGAGGAGCGCGCGTTCGCAGTTGTAAAAAAGAAAGAATTAAAACGCTATCTTTAATACTTTTTACTTTGTGATTTTTTTAAAAGAGTAAGTTCCCACGCCGCACCCTGTATATGACCGAATATATATGACCGAATACATATGACCGAATATATATATATGATATATATATTATATGACCGAATATTTTCAAACAACAGCACAAGAGAGTTCACAAGAAAATTCACAATTGCAGTTGCCTTTTTTTATATATGACATGTTTTTAAAGTGCTTGAAAAGATCCTGCATGCCATAATAGCGTTTCATTTCGTTCGCTGCCAGTCATGCCGATATAGTTCCATGAACTACTTTATTAGTTCACTAATATTGCTCTATCTATAGAATTAGTGCAGAAGCTTCTGCTTGATTTTCTATGTTCTTGCTTTCTTGTACTTTTGTTCTGCGTCTGGACGGTCTGGCTAAACTACTTTATTAGTTCACTAATATTGTTCTATCTATAGAATTAGTGCAGAGCTTCTGCTTGATTTTCTAAGTTCTTGTTTTCTCGTACTTTTGTTCTGCGTCTGGACGGTCTGGCTAAACTACTTTATTAGTTCACTAATATTGTTTTATCTATAGAATTAGTGCAGTAGTTTCTGCTTGATTTTCTAAGTTCTTGTTTTCTCGTACTTTTGTTCTGCGTCTGGCTAGCGAGCGCGTGATCCCCAACGATTTGACAAGATTATCCTCCTTCCCTTCTTTCGGCCGTCGCGGCGGCTGACCGTCATATATATGTGCTCAGCGTCGTAGTAGAGAAATATTTGCGAAGAACTTCTTTCATTTCGAGCCAAATTGTTTTCTTGCTCGGCAAATTGCTTCCGTTTCTTTGTTGAATTAGTTTCCAAGTTAGGATCTTTGATCTCTCATGAAGGCTACAGCTGCATATTCTGTTATTGTAGATCTAATAGATCTCGTGACGTTGGAACCTAAATAATTTGTTCCAAAACATTTATTTATAATAAAATAATAATAATGTAACAATTTGTTCAACAATATCTCGATGTATATAAATGTGTCAATAATAATATAAAAATGTATATAAATCAATTCTTGTTTAATGAGGTACTTATTTGCGTCTGATGTACATCTGATGTCATGCGGTTCCTCTTTTGACGTCGTATATATGACCGACGCCTGAGCTTCGAATACGTGACATTCCACTGGATGATTAGTTGCTTTTCATTCTAAAAGTTCACTTAAAATTAACTTTCGAAAATTATTTTTAATAAATTTAAAGCGTTGCATAATTTTCGCGAATTTTCGGGCGGCTCAAAGAGTAAGTTTGCAAAATCGCCCGCTCGGGGGTTAAATTGCGTGAACCCGATCTATGCCATCAACGATCCTCCGTGAATTCTGGCAGGTCGCATCTTTCCTCTTTGCCAGAATTCGGCCAGCAGTCTTGAGGAATGAAGCTCAATCCCGAGTCACTAGAGATCTCCTGCAAATCTACGAATTCCCGGAAATGAATCGTCTCGTGGCTCACGTCAATTTTTTTCAATGCCGCCGGCATTGAAAAAGAACATTTTCAATGTTCTTTTGGATACATTTCTCTCTCGAGTAAGAAGAAGAAATTAAGATTGTTACTTAATTATTACCATCAAATTCAATGCTATTTCACTCTTATATTACGGATTGGAATATCTAGCATAGCCGTATTCATGATCGGGAGCAAATTTAATATCTTCTGATGATAAATTTCGTATTTATTTTCACATATCAATTACGAACTCGGGCGAAGTTCAATTTAGAGTCAAGAGCCTGATTTGGTTGTATATCAGGGAGTGCTCTGCGAGTTGAGATTCTACTCTAGCCACATGCGGGCGAAAGGTTCTACTCTCGCCAAGCTTTCAAGACTCTACTGTAACTACCATAAATTGTTCTCGAGGGCCTTCTCTCGAGGGTAGACGTCTATTCACATAAGCCGAAACTAGGGCGCGCCGATCTGTAGTCAAACTCACGCATTTGCCTGCGTAAATAGCGCCCTGATAAATAATGTTCAATATTTATGCGAAGAATCATTCAATTCAGGTATTTTTCTCATCTGGTAATAGCTCTCACAGCAACGAAAGAATGAAACAACCTTATTTTACATGGGAGTTCTATCAATATTTCATAGACTGATGATTTGTAGTTTTTACGTCGTATTTATGAGCTATATTTATCCTGACCTAATTATTTGAGAATACAGTCGAAAAAATCATTTCATTTACTTTTTCTGCGAAAAAAGCTTATCGCGATTTATTCAATGAGCCAAGTTATTTGACAATTTCCAGAGCAATGCGAGAAATATTCCTCGATTAAAAATCATTGATATCAAATATAAAGTATTGCGTCCGTAATTACTCCCGGTTCGATCTTGAACAAACATTTTTTTTCATATCCGCTAAAAAATCCACGACTTTTATGGAATTATTTGTACATATTTCTATTATAATTAGGCGGAGAAAAAAGTTTGCCACTGTAATTGATGGACGTTATTTGGCCTCATCTACAGTAAGTGAATGACTTCAGTATACAGAATTGAATATCTGTGGGGATCCATCAGTCACCTCAAGCAACGCACAAAAAAATTATTCACATATACAAACACATCCCTGAGTTGACCTTGCTGATCTTACATTTTTAACCAAGCATTCAAGCACCGCATTTGACTACTGAATCGAACTTGACACCTAGCGATGGTCGCTGCACAGTCGCAACTTATTTATACGGTATATAATTAGTCTTAACCCGAGAGACTAACATGCTCATTCCGTCGCACAATTAATGTCTTGCTTGAGTCAATTGCGTGTACGTACGAGTTGTGCGCAGGCGGGATCAAATGCATCAGTAATGCGATCATCAATGGCTTGATACCTACGAACTTTGCCCTGCATATAATAACTAGTAAGCTAACGCAGTAAGAAATAATGAAGGCGTTTCTGAGAAGTCGGTACTCTATGGCTTTGAAGTTAAATTTCGATCCGATAGAATAGGATTGATGATCCTAATGCATGCTTAGGAAAAGTGACGTACGTTCGCGTTTTTAGCGTATTTTCTCATTTATGGAAAAAAATGCACTATTGTGTTCGCCATGTCCATCTGTCTGTCTTTCTGTCCGTCCGTCCGTGACCTCAAGTTTTCGTCGACGAAAAAATGCGCTCTCTGTCACTCACTGCAGTGAGTACTGAGTTATATTTTTTAACATTCTTCGAGCCACAATGCACCCAAGGTTACAAACAACGTCGACTTTAAATCGTTTGCTTTTGTCGCCAAATTTCAAGCCACACTTGAGCTTTAGTATAATAAACACTGCCAACTCGTAGAGCCAATTTCTAGGAAACTTTGGAAATGTTTTATAAATAATTGGACTATTAGTGACTATCGCAGTGTTTACCGAGGTGGTGTTAACAGAGGGCGCAGTGTGCTCTGCAGGGTAGCGAATTATCTCTCCCGGTGCAGGCAACTTTATCGATGCTTCTTCTTGTTTGACGTTACCTCAGTTTGCGTCGCATACAGCAGGAGGGTTGCATGATCAGAATCAGTATTAACGGCGATGAGAAATAATAAATTATTCGATTACTTAGACCTACAAATTAGTGAAAGAACTATTGAAAAAAAGCCTTTCGTGAGCAAGTTACTAAATATGATCACTTGAAATCGCTTTCCAAATAGACCCATTATTGCCCCGGTTTGTGCTTGAAGCTTCGTTATCATGTCTCAGCCAATAACCAATTATCTAACAATCGTTTCATACATTGCATCATTGCATATCATGCATAGGAATTAAATTAAAGGCATTTAAATGAATGTTTTCACTGGGATAATGGAATTTAAGTTATTTCCGGATTTTTTTAAAAGTCGGAAGGTAGCAATATCTTTTCAATCAATTAAAGTAATTTACTGAGATTTAATTAAATTGAGGCATGGCAGTTACTTTTCACATTTGAATTTATTTTAAATAGTTTTTTAGCTTAGTAACCGTATTTAATAGATTTATCAATTGCGATATATACTCCTTCAATATGAACAATTTTTGAAAATTCATGGGCGTAAATAGATATTTTAATTGAATACTTTCGTTCACTGAGTACATAAATACGAATTACTCCATATTTTTATGCTTGCCCGGGAAATTGTCAACATCTATCATTATCAAATGAGAATTTCATCCTTGTACAGCCATACGACTAACCTTATGTCTAAGAATTAATAGAATGCAAGGCATGCAAATAATGTTATTCGCGCTTAAAATATAGATCCCTTTGTATAATTTGAGTTCGGCACGTGATAAATGAAGCAAAGGTTGACTGTGGCGCGCGATATGTGAAGATCTAACTTGAGAAGCATCTACGCGATGCCTTCTGAATGGGCATCAGTTTACCATTGTCATTCAACAAAATAGTGCAATCGACGTAGCCCTTCCAATTTAACATTGTTTCCGTGTCACTATTCAATTTGTTTCAATGTCACTATTCCAATTTGTTTCCGTGTCACTATTCATGTAACTTTAACATGGTGCCTCGTGATAGCGGATATGACAATTTCATTCACATGTTTCTCATATTTCCACAGGATCAGAATTCACCAGGACTATTTGGACTAACAGACGTGCACTCTTAGTTTTAATTATTTTACAATTTGAATGATGCACAACGCTCATCCATCACCGAACTCTTGAATATGAACGGTAAATATTCGCTGAACACATCCCTTTTCGACTCGTATGTATTTCAAAGTAAAGGCTATTTATTGCAAAGGACTTAGAAATATGAAGTAACGCATATTGATGTAATTTGATTTACATTTAAAATGAATTCATAAAAAATATTTTATAACGTGTTCTTTTCGAGTTTATTTTTGTTTTGTTTGTTCACTGATGACTTCCTCTAAGATTTTGCTTTCACGTATTTTAAGTAGTTAATTATCGGCGACTATTCGGTGCAAAAACGAGTTCATTCATTCACTTAACAACAAGAATTTTTATCTCTTCATACTCTAGTTTGATACCGTACTGAATTTTTATAACAGCCACGCTGTTCCTGAACCTAAGCCGCGAGGAGGAGTTGGACATCTCCTCCCCAGAGGACTTGGCTCCAGCGAGACCCAGACTGCAGCTGGGCGTGCAGGCGGTGGTCACCGTGTGCTACGCCGTCGGGATCATCGGTAACATTCTCGCCCTCGTCATCATTGGCAAGTCAGAGACGAAGAAGTACAAAAAACAAGTGAGATAAACTCTAGATTGTGGAATATTACTGTGTACAGGTTAGGTTGTTATATACATTTCACGACCAACATAAGTATCCTAATTCATTATTGAAATAGCAACATTTCACGACCAACATAAGTATCCTAATTCAATATTGAAATAGCAATGAATGCTTGATTTCACTTCATCCATATTTTGTAAGACCTGGATAAATATCTGAAAATGAAGCCTACTCGATGATCGTAAGTTATTTTGCAATCTTTTTAGTTTTGAAAGCTCCTGCGGCAAACTTGTATTAAACTCACGATGTATGGTTATAAAATACAGTGCACTCACTTAATTTCATTCATGCAATAATTTTTCGTCCTGGAGAAAGTTATTCTTGTTTATGAAGCCATAAGTTGTATGATCGATGTTTAAAATATCGATGTTGTATACTCAAAAAACTGATGATCGATGTTTAAAAAATTAATATTCATTGTCAATTTTGATAATAGTTTTAATTCTGATTAATTTAGTGAGACTTTTTAAATCCGAGTTATGATTCATCACTCGTGACTTGGGCCTATACTTTCAAAAAAGTTAAGAGATCGTAAGTTCATCAGCCAATCATTGGCGGCCTTTCAAGCAAAACACCAATCATAGAAAAGAAATAGAGCGTAAGTACTTACGTTCACTTAATCATAGACAAAAAAATAGAGCGTAAGTACTTACGTTCACTTAATCATAGACAAGAAAATAGAGCGTAAGTACTTACGTTCACTTAGCGATTTTTGAAAGTATGACCCCTGAACTCGTGCGCCAGACGCTGCTGCTGCGCTGCTTGGCCACCAACGACCTGGTGGCGTTGCTAGGGTCGTGCCTGCAGATGTACGTGACGCTGTACTTCAGGGTGGGGTCCACTAAATGGTCATGCGCCGTCAGGGTGGTTCTTAGGGTCTTCGGGCTTGGCTCTGGCTTCGTCGCGCTCGCCATGGCTGTCGAGCGCTGGCTCGCGCTCTCCCATCCATTTTTCTACCAAAAGGTACAAATTTAGAACGAATCGGAACAACATATTAAGCAGAGTCAGTCCAGCAGTAGATATTAATTATTAATTTTAGGTAGAAAGAGGGTTTATGATAAATTAAAGAAACATTCAAATATCTGTTTAGGAAAATGCCAAGAACGAATGCATGTTCAAACATTGGCACTTAAAAGAACTTACTCGAGCTTTTCAGATTATCGGTAGATCATTGATTGATGCCATATTTTGATGGGTAATTTAGGCTCAACCATATTGGTTTTATTTGTTGATTTCGTTGGTAGTTTTAAGAGGACTTCCAATAGCGTCATTGCTTTGTTCAGCTGTGCTCTAATTAAGTTCTTTGCCCTTAGAAATTTCTCAGGCTGTCGAGGTTACCTACAATTAAGGGTTGCGCCATTAATAGACAATGCGTTAAGATGAGGTGTGATGCTCAAAATTTTCGTGGTTTGACGTCCGATCTTTTAAATAAAAAACATAGATCTTGAAGCTTGATATTTGGCGTTGCATCAGTTCTAATTCTAACTCCAAACGCACGCCTAATTACGTATAATAATGGCAACGTATTTGCTCGGCTTTTACGCCAAGTTTTGCTTCCACTTCCAGAATTTCTGGCACACGAATTTTAAAATCTCTATTTTACAAGAGAGGCCAGGTGTAATTGCACCGTTTGTTTAACTGTATTTCCTTTAAAATTGTGGATAAGTTTTTCTGCTTGTGATTATTTAACGTTGTTTTTTCTTTCATTTTTCAATTAATGTTCTAAATTCGGCTTAGTGAATTTTAGTTGCGTTAATTATCGATGCATTTACTCTGTGATATTGTAACCAACGATGAAGATTGACCATGGAATGATTTCAATGACGATATTGTGAATTATTGTGGCCTTTTATTTGCGCAATAATACTTAATTATTTGCGAGTCCAGCAATCGAGGTATTTTGAAAACTGACCTGTCAAGTGCACTCGGATTGTTTTAATGACATCATGCAGTTCGGAAATAATAAGTTAAAAATACTACTTTTAATTCAGCAAGCCACAACAGCTAAGCTAACATTAAAATGCCGTCGCTCTGACCAGAACGTGACCCCGGGAGGCTTGCTGAAGTTTGTGTTGGGGTTATGGGGCACCAACGCCGCGCTGGTGTGCTGCCCACTTTTGGGTTTCGGTTTGTGGTACGACGAGACACTAGCGCGCCCCTGCGCCAGATACCGAGACGCCTCGCGCCCAGGCGACGTGGCATACGCCTACCTCGTCTTCTGTCTCGGTGAGTCAACGTCATACGTTCATATGTCGACGTCATAATACCGTTGAGATTCTAAGGACCATTCCTGTGCTGAGGTGCTCAATTAAATGGCAAATAAACGCTACCTGATCCGGTACAATAACCACGGCAGTTGAATCAATATCGCAGGGTATATTTAGTATACAGCTACATTGCCGGGAAATTATGAATATTTCGTTGAATCCATGCAGGAAAATCCAATAAAATAGTGAGGATTGGGTTGAAGTTTTCCAACAAATAAATTAATGCACAAATCGTTTAAAAAGCGCTTTGCCGCATGTTATTTAATTCCTGCTGTTTCTGTATAGCATTTTGCCTTCCCTCAGGCATGGTGATGTGTGCCGTGATCGTGGCTTGCAACGTGTCCGTCATTAAGGTTTTGTGTCACGTTGGCAGGAGCCGAAACGAGCCCATGAGGTGCTCAAGGGCATCCTATGCCATGCAGAAACAGTCTTCATTTTCGCGTGATAGCTATCGGTCTTCTAAAAAAATGGACAGGCCACCAGACGGCCACGAAGGAAAAATTGACGAAGAACTTCCACTGGTTGGAAATGAAACTCAAAACACTGACCCAAAAGAGAAAACCCTTTGTATGCAAGAATTGAGATACAGCGATGTAGATGTCGACGCTAAATGCAAAATACAAAAAGTCGAGCATGAGTACGTACAGACCAACAATCAGGGAAGTACGATTTCTAAAAGTTGCTACATACCTCCAAATCCCGTAAAAGACGCGGATAAGCCTACTTTAATGGAACAGGAGAGTGTGTCGTTTATGGACGCTAGGTCAAGTCTTCGTAGGTATCTGGCCAAAGGCAGCAGCAAAATACTTCGGAGAAGCTCTTCAGTCTCGATAAGCAAGCGCTACAAGCACGCCACGCATGAGGAGCAATCTTTTGCCAAGCTTATGACAGTGCTGAGCATCGTGTTTCTCATCTGCTGGATGCCACAGTTTGTACGTTATTAATCAAGTATATTTAACAAGACGACAGTAAAAATCATAATTTTTCAGGTTGTGTTGAAGTATAAAATTTCAATCGTCTCATGTCTTTTCTCACATCTTATAAAATGACTTGTATATATTCGTTTTAAACCAGTTATTTGATAACATGCTTCTCTGATAACATGATTCATCAGAAGTGTGTGAATTTCACAAATCCATTAATGATTCCGATTACTTTCGCCTATGAATATACGTCCAAAAAGTATATAACTTCGAATATACACTGTTAGAAAAAACGGTCCCACTGGCGTTCTAGTGGCCGGTCGTCCCGTGAAAATAAACTTTTTCGCCGTTTTTATCAGATGTTTTACGGATTTTCAGTGTTAAATTGGAATAAAAACGGCGACACGGTGTTTATTTTCACGTGCCGACCGGCCACTGAAACGCCGGTAATACCGTTAACGGTAATTTTTTTAACAGTGTACGCAGATAACTTGCCTGCTTACTTGTGCATGTCATATTTCCTGTCCTCTCTGCACGCAGTTCACCATACCTGCCTCGCAACAAAAGTGGTTCGGGGACAACCCTAAAGTTTTCAGGATAGCTGATATTTTAATAGCACTCAACTTCGTTATTAATCCGTAAGTAAACAGCGCATAAGCGTTATAGAGTACGGCAGAGATGGCTTTACCGTAATATACGCAATAGTTGATCTACATAATTAAATTTCCATTAACTAGTATAGAGATTACACAGGCATATATGCAGATATGTGTGAACAAATCATTTATTTTAATGTGCCAATAAAATTAAATGATATATCGTGTCAATTATCTTACGGCTACCGCCACTAGCTGTCACGTGAATCTAAATGAACAATGTTTTGCATGAACAGGAGACTAACTTTCCGGTTATAATTATTCAGATTTGGATTCGTCTTTCCCCCTTAAAAACAAATAAAATATTTAATATCGATATTGCATTGTTTTATAAAACGGGCAAACTTACTACCGTGACTTTATTGTGACACCTCAATCGTCATTGAAGATAGTGTGTTGGTATTGTTAGTAGTATCGACCGTACATCTCGTATTACTCCTCGAAAGTTCGAGATGTTTCACCATGTATTGTTATATATGAAGCTTCCAGAAGGATTGGATGAAGTTAGTTTATTGCAATAGCTAGCAGGAATTATTTTTTTATATTTAGCGCACAAATTTGTGCTTGCAATAAACATCAAATGATTAGAATCGTGAATTTTTTTTAATTAATTAGTAAAATCATTTTTTTTTTCATGAAAGCAACCCGATTATTTTTCGCTCTTTTTTTAGAGATATCTCGGGACCTATTGTAGAAAACTGGAAATAATAATAATGTTTTTTTTTTTTTAAATAATGAAGCGATATTAAGCCCACAAATTTTACAGCTACGTATATGTGATTCTCCGTCGGAGGCGTAAACAAAAGCGACGCTACATCCATGAATGCGGAAAGTTTTGCCGGAGTTGCACATCCTCTTGGCGATCTGTCACTTGTCGGTCGGGGCGACGTTCAGAGATGCCGGAGAAGCAGCAGGCGTCAACGCTGCAAGACGCGGCCAGCTTGCAGGATGGACTCTAAGAGAAGTGAAGATATGAAACTTAAGATGGGATATCATTTTATTTGCTATTGAAAGTTAAGGTTAATTTAAGAACTACCCACCTTCTATACTGGTAGCTGCACACAAGCCTTTTGCTTACATGCTTAAATTCTTGAATATTTTAATACTCTTGACAATCTTTAAGTTACATTTCATCCACGGAGAATTAATTTGCAAAGTACTTGCTTTCGACATCCCCCCAAGAGCCAGTGAGGACATATTTTGATTCAGAAACTGAAGTGAACAGAACTAACACGTATATGCCTGATGAAATGTAATGTACTTGAAACACTCATCAGTTAATGTTTTAAGCTCATCATTCATTCATTTCACAGAATCGGCATTTGAAGGGAGGGTCTGCATTGACGGCTGCTGACACAGCGAACGGTGTTATAGAAGACATCAACGAGGTTCACCTTTGCATGAGGAAATCCTCTTCTTTGATCCAAGAAATATCAGCATTGATAAAAAAAACACATCTAGTACAAAGATTTATCTGATATTTAGAAGGAAAAGACAAAAATGTCAAATAGATTTAGTAGTGGCTCAGCTTCCACGAGTCCATGTCAGAGGCCAGTTTTACTCACTTCATATTACTTTCCATGGTCAAGCACGCTATGGAGGGCATTGCAGCTTATGAATTCAAGTCACCACCGATAAATCATGCTTGCTCTTGAGCGATGCAGACTTGCATCTGGCCTACCTATTTTCTTATTTTTCTATTCGACTCTCCACCCAAAATAAATCTGACTGAGTCTAACCTAACCTCATAGCTGCAGTAAGGAGGAGAGTCGGAGTAAATGAGAAGGTAGAGCCAGTCATTGGCTGCAAGGAAGTGGAGAGTCTTGGCAACATTCCTATATAATATAGTTAGGCTACACGCGGGTAGGCACCGTTCGTGGGCGAGTATGAATATGAGAAGGCCGTAAACTTCGGCGCTGTACTCTGTGGCTTCTTTCACTCTGAATGAGTGTAGTTATTACATGATCTGGCTGCGAGTTGGCTACAGGGCAAGAGTTGCGAATGTAGCTCACGGCTGCGTCCCTTATACAAGCTGACCCGTGCTCAGAGACGGATCGCGAAGACTGGATGTTAATCGTACTCGGTTCGAAGGATTTGAAAATGCAACTTTTTCGTAGCTATCAAATTAAAATCGGTTTTCGTAAAACTAACATACAATGGTAAAAATAAGTGCCTTTGAATTAATATTGCACGTGGTGTTAACTAGCCCATTAGAAAGTTTTATTTCGAACATGGACAGATGAACACATTAGGAACCTAAAACGAGTGTAAATTCTCTGATCATGATTCTTAACTAAAAACAACCATTCCCTTCATTCCCGTTAAGAGGAACATAACAAACATTCCCTTCAACCTGGTAAGTTGACAGCCAGCGTCGAACTAAAATCAAACACTTAAATCATAACAGACTATAGCTGAGTTGCGTGCGACATATAGCACGCAATTTAAACGCACAACGTGCGACATACGCACTTTCATCCCTTAAATTCACCGTGTATCATAAAAGATACATAAATCCAATATTTGCCTAAAAATGCTAAGGTAATCAGGCAACTTGCCTGCATCACTCCTTGAATCAAGTACGAAACATACCAAGTCAAACTATAACAAAACGAGTTACGTCGGTGTTGTGCGGCGCGGTAAACGTAGCAAAAATGCGTGGTCTCTACATTAAATGCGTGCATTTAATGGATAACCCTTCAAATGTACTTGTAATAACTTTAAATTCAACACTGGCATTAGGGTATCACTGGCGTCATGTGGCAGGTCTAGAATTACTAGAAACGCCGTTGTGTAGACTCAAAATAAATTTAAAATGATTATTTACCAACTAAAAAACATCAAACTAGTATTTTTACAACGCATCTGTATATACGGGTATAAATGCTAATTTGAGGATATCTTTAGAATAGTTATATTCATTAAGGAATAATATGAAACATTTATCAGATTATTTTTCAAACTAGAAACTTTTTTATGATAGAAACTTAGCTCGATTATTTTCAACTCAATCAGTGCCACATGTCCGAGTCATTTAATGATGAAGTAAGATGTAGTAAACCTAAAAGTTACCAAATTTTGAAAAAAATTATTTGAAACGTTCAGGCGATATTGCATGCTTTGCGACATAAAACGTCTGTAAGTTAACTTTACAATGGACTGGAGTGCATGGCAAAACAGAATTTATTTAAAAAACCCATCATTAAAATTTAATGATTTATCTAAGTGATCTCACAGTCTTGTCCGTCTATTTTGTTTTCAACAGAGCTCTGCTTTCAGTCTGTCATCGATGATATCCTAGCGTGTCGGTCAATGCTGAATAAGCAAAGGTTCAACTCTAATTATTTTGAGACGTTTGTAATTGAGCATATGAAGATAGATAAAATATAATATTATTATTGCCTGTCAAGTATTGCTTGGATTCGAGGCGGCTACAGATAAAGCCCTTGATTTGATCTCCTAGCGGTATAGTTCTCTCCCTTGTAAGAGGCTTTGGAAATTCAAAGTATTTAATGTTGTTCGATGGAGGTTATTTTATAAATAACGACTCCCATGTTTAGTTATTTTTAAGGCGGTCGAACTCAGTGTAACTAGGTATCATAGGTAGCATAAAGCTTTAATTGATGCACATAGACGTGACCGCGACGTGTTGATGTGTTCCGAAGTTGCCGCGCGTCTGTCGCGCTTTATAATTTGCTGTCTTAGCTTCTTACTGAAATACATGTGCGTGTCTCTGATCGTATTTCACTACTTCGAAATTCATACACTCAGGAAAGCACAGAGTCCATGTACTGAGCTAATCAGCTCAGCTAACGTAATCGTGTGTTACCAAATCCGTTATTGCCATCTTAATTTGCAGGAGCTCACGTCATCTTCTTGATGAAGGAAAACACACTTCTGTCGAACCGTCACCTAATTTTGGGCCTACTTTAAATAGTTCCTTCGAAGTTAAACTATGTTTTACTCAGAAGGTGCCATAACAGTTGCAGTACTGCTAATTTATTTAAGACTTCCCTATACATTTTTCCAGGTACGCAGACGATAATACCTGAACTTTCAAATGATGCGGGTAGACCATTTTCTGTAGCATTGTCGCGCAGCGATAGAAAATTTTCAAAAGTGGTGTTTCGGACCCAAACTAAATTTCGGATATTATGATTGAATTGTACGTTTCTCTTCGTGATGGATGTCTAGACACAATTATAAGGGGGCTTCATGAGTAATTGCTTACAGTGAACTGAACATCTTACGGATTAGTGTTTCGTTAACTTTAGGATGCATGGCGTTCAATGAGTACACATTAACGTCAAGCTATGTTAGCTACGGATGGGCTTCAAAAACTAACAGGTCTTTAATTGTTTAATCATAATACACTATTAATAATAATTTATATCGTTACGATGTTCGTCACATCATCTAGGTCTAGGGCATCGTTCTATTCCGTAATATTGTTGACTATTATCTCGCACGTTTTCCAGGAACAACGTTATTAAAATCGCATGCTCAGAAATTTCTGTTAATGCCGAAGACTCGAGTAGCTTTATGAGGAAACATTTTACATCCTTGGATAATTATTCAGAGCAATTTAGTCTATAATTAGTTGGCGTAATATTCGCATAATGCCGAGCACCGAATTATTGGAGTGCGACTATGTGACATGAAGGTGCAAAAACAGTTTAAATGGACCAACTTCTACCTTTCCCACCTTAAGTGAGGTTACTGCGTGCAGTGCCAGCAATACATGAGGAACAAGTTTATTAACTAACCGTACGATTAAGAAGCACTGGAGTCCAGCTCGCGTAAGCCGATATTATTTTTAAGAGTGCTGTGTTCAGAAGCCCTAGACCGCCGCTAGCTGAGATGGACCCAACTACTTCGAGAAAACTGATGCAACCGTAAATTGGATTATTGGAGAGCATATTGATCTTGGGTGATTAAAAATATGATGACTTTATTGTATTGTATTATCTATTTTTTGCCACTCAGAAAGTGTTTACGGTCTATTTTGTACATTGTAAACGGGATGTTGAGGCAAGCTCATTTTGGCTGAGTTACCCATCGCGGAGAAGTTGTGTGCTCAGTGTTACTGGGTTGGGGTGACACGGTTTGTACTCGAAATAGGCAGAGCCAAATTTGGGCTTCCAAGAATAAATTCCACTGCAGTTCTGGGCATAACTCTTAATGAGTTTCTCTAACGGACTAATAATAGCGTAGGTGGAGTTCTTGGATAGTTCCGGATTTTGGCTGCGTTGGGCGGTTTACAGCCGTTCCATTCGCACCCTCGTGTCGTACAGGCTAATAACATCTGCGCTCGAGTAAATTGTCAGCGGCTTATTGGAAGCTTGTACCCTTCAATAGTCGCGCTTTTGAAGCGTAATTGCCACCCTGGTTCTGTGTTCTTGGCAGTGCATTAGGGCTCGAACCCCTGATCATTGCGTTGGTTGTCGGCATCGTGGTGCAGCGCGTACCTGTACTCGTGCTTTCCGTCGCTGTCCGGTCGTCAGTTTTGTGGTGCGGCTAGTACCCGTATCTTTGCTGTCCACTCCTGTGAGGTCGTCAATTTTGTGGTGCGGCTCGTACCCGTATCCTTGCTGTCCACTCCTGCGAGGTCCTCAGTTTTGTGGTGCGGCTCGTACCCGTATCCTTGCTGTCTGGTCTTCAGTTTTATAGTGCGGCTCGTACCCGCATCCTTGCAGTACACTCCTGCAAGGTCGTTGTTTGGTGGTGCGGCTCGTACCCGTATCCTTGCCGTCCGGTCGTCAGTTTGTGGTGCGGCTAGTACCCGTATCCTTGTTGTCCACTCCTGTGAGGTCGTCAGTTTTGTGGTGCGGCTCGTACCCGTATCCTTGCTGTCCATTCCTGTGAGGTCGTCAGTTTTGTGGTGCGGCTCGTACCCGTATCCTTGCTGTCCACTCCTGCGAGGTCGTCAGTTTTGTGGTGCGGCTCGTACCCGTATCCTTGCTGTCCGGTCTTCAGTTTTGTAGTGCGGCTGGTTTCAAGAACAGACTAGATAAAGCTATGGAAAAATATATGTTCAGATTTGAAATGCCTAGCATCATATCGAAGCCGGTGGAAGTCGAGTAGCTATTTCAAACTTTCGTCAGTCGTGAAAAGATCTGGTCAAGTGACACGATTTTAGATCTTCTGTGAACAAGGCACGAAAAGGAAAAGAATCGGCGACAGGCCACATCAGGCCTACACTGCAGCACCGAGATCACTGTATTATGTTATGTTAAGTCGGCACGCTACCCGTAACTATTTCGAGTACACACGTACTCTACCTATATATCCAATAAGTGTTTCGCAACTTTCACAATTTTATTCTTTCTTGAAAATTAATTGAAGCTTTGATGAAATTTCCTCGCTCTATAACTTTGGACAGAAATTTTGTGTAAGGTAGCGGCTTTATTACAGCTGGCAATGTTATGTCGCCCTGTGGCGGGAACATTCTGGAGTTCATACTGCGCGGGCCTTACTTAGTATCATGGGGAGCGCCGCCGTGCACCACCAATTTTGTGCACCAATAAGCCCTGAATCGAACGCCTTGGATCTCTCCAGACATCCACCAACCAGCCGTGAATGGAACATGATATCCGTAGCCGACCCTTGACATCATTCTGCTTTGAATATTTTGAGCTCTACTCCCCCTAGACACGAGACCAAATAGCATAGAGTCGAATGACCGTCCACCACCGAACGTTGCGT